GGTCCGACCACGATTTAAGATAATATATCTTAAATCGTGATCTTAAGCCATGGTCCGACGACTATATAGTTGTACTTATCAGTTGTCCGCTTAATGTAGCAGATTTAGTTCAATTGTTACTCACGAGCGCTGCAGGTTATACTTATTGAGGTTATGWACTATGAACTTAATATTATCACAGATTATATAATTTTATAATTATATAATTTTATATATTTTATAACTATATAATTTTATATAATCTGTTTATATATTCTTGTTTTGATAAATGATAATGTTCAAAATTCCGGCCAAAATCTAAAATCAACTATTGAATTTTGGTTAATATTTATTCCTATTTACCAAGACGTATCTAATTAGCAATTGCACTCATCATTTTATTTCGACCATCAAGTTTTTAGCCATTGAAAAATTAATTATGCCCAACAATATCTGCATATTTGGTTGTAATACCAATAAAAAACTGTCCGTCTTTTCCATTCCAAAGAAACCAGATAACAGAAATAAAAAAAAAGTTGCGAAGTTTTGTAAGACTTAAGAAACTATAATTACAAATTAGTATTTAAAATTGTATAATAAAAAACAATTACGAGTATYTTATTACTTAATGATATATTTTATTATTTTATATTAAAATAATAAAATGTTTTTAATCAATTATTACATTACACCAGTGACATGGCGATCTAAAGAATTTTCAGAGGTAACAGGTAAGTATATTTTTCTAATTTTCTATTTCTGGCACCGTCTAAAATCATCTGATATAAATGATACATTGATATTTGATAATATGATTGACGATTGTTTTTAATAAATATTAAATACATAACCTCAAATAAGTATAACCTGCAGCGCTAGTGAGTTAAACATAGAGTAATATGCGTTCCATAGTATACAGTTCAGTGATGTAGGATGATACATTATGATGTATCCTACCTAAATGTACGATAATTTAAAAATATCGGTCTAAAACCACAAATTTGTACAATAAATTCAATAAATTTTTTTTTTTTTAACTTTTCCAGTTAATGTGAGCACATTAATAGGAACACCTGATTATATAATATATAAAATAATCTTTATGTATGGTGAAATCACTTTTTGAAGCTCTACTGCTCTAGTGTCTAGTCTGTCAATCCTCGGATACCAGCGAGAATGATACCCAACGCTCCATGCAGTACTAATGTACTATTTAGCTTTATTTATAATTTTCCACGGTACTTTTTGAATTTTACCATGTATTTTAGTTTTAACTTACCCAGTAAACAACACAATATTTTAAGATTTTTTACATAAATAAACAATTATAATACATAAATATAACACGGATAAATGAAAATATAAAACATTTATTAACACATTTTTTAACCTAACTGGATACAAGTTTTGTAAGTTTCTTTTTGGCTCTACTAATTTTATTTGATTTTTGATTTTCAACGTATGTAAATTGCCTCATACACATTGTTATATATATTGTGGAGAATCATAAGTAATAAAAATATTTAAAAAATATATCCTGTTCCTGTAAAGAAAGAAGTTAAAACTACAAATATTTGGCAAATATTTCCGGTAGGTATAGACAAATTTAGCCTTATTGTATACACAATTTTAATAAATATCATTCGATGAGGAATATTGTAAGTTTACGGGTTTCATAAAAATTCAAACATCAGACCCTCATAATAAACTATAATGGATTTTTACACACTACACACGTTTTTTTTTTTAATCACACTAATAACAGCTAATGAGAACTTTGTACTTGATTTATAAGTTTATGACCTAGCTAAAAATTATATATTGAGTTACTGAAAAAATCAAAAATTTCCTATGGCACAAATATCTCAAAATATTTTCAATATCAAAGTTTTGTAAAATAACAATTTTGTGAACAAAGTATAAACTAAGTATACATACCAAATAAACACTAGTTTAAGTATAATATAGTAGTATCTGAATCTTTATCATTAAAAYGTGAAGTGATTTCTTATAACGTTATAACAGTTTAATCTGAAGTTCTACCTGAACCTGACCAATTTTCATGATTTCTTTTTTTAACCCAAGTACTCAATGTGCAGATGAGCCATCAAAAGAAAAAAATGTATTATTCAATTAGTTATTAAAAGTAAAAAAATTTGATGTATTGTTATTTAGCGACAAGGGTTACTTGTCGTGCGCGCACACATATCATTGAATTATAGGTGAATAATAATATGTGAATATGTGATAGCAAACAAATAGCACAAACTAGAAAAAAATTCAAATAAAAGCATTCACAAACATTAAAAAACAAATAAAAATTGGAATGTGACAAAATATGTAAAAAATAAAATCAAAAGTTCAGTGTAAAAAAAAACAACTGACAAGCCTACACTCGGTTCAAACAGAAAAAACAAATCAATTTTTAACAGATAAAGCTAGAATATGGTTTATTAATGATCAAGAAATCCTTTAATAAGTACAACTTAAGAAACTTAAATCACAATCAAACATAGCTTAAGATACTGTCTTAAATATGAAAATGCAAAGAAAACAATTTTCAGAATACTTCTTTGAAATCCTATGACCCCAACCAGAAAAAAACAACCTAGTAATATACACATTTTTTAAAAATCAGGTTCATATAAACCAATTTCGTCAAATATTAAAGAATACAAAATTGTAATTAAAATTAAATTGATGAAAAAAAAATTTATATACGATAAAATATAATAATACAATAAATGTGTTTATAGTGATTTTGTTACTCTTTATTTACAATTTATTTAAAAAGTTTCTATAGTTGAATGTTTTAAAAATATTGAATTTAGTAATTTACAATAAAATTAAAACAATGTGGAACGAATGAAATATGGTATAATTATAGAAAAACGCGAGAATCTAAATTTAAAATGATATACATTCGAACACAACCATGTGTCTTATTCTATTAACTATGGTAAATAAGAACTCTGCGTAATGTGCGAAAAATTATCTGACCCCAATTTCAATGCATACCAATTTTAGTTTACGGGTAACTGCTTAATGTGGGCAAATGAGTTTGGTCTCAACGTACCCTCATTAAGAGTAATCCACAGTATTCATTATATTATACTAATTCCAGTTTTGATCATAATAACACATTGGTAAATTAAATAAGCAATAAATTATGTAGTTTGATGGACAAAATTTCAGGCTGACCTTTATAGATTAAACATTTAACACATATTATTATTTGAATTGCGTAAGATTAAGATTTACTGAGATAATCAGTTATGGAAACTGTTCTAATTTTAATTACTAGCAAAAATTTACTTAACTAAAAAGAATTAACAAATAAGTAGTTATTGTATGAAAAATAAATCATCAATCAATTAACAATCTAATCTACAATAAAACAAATATAATTAATATAAGTTATTCAAATACCATAAAATTAGGATCTAAGTAATTTTGAGTTCTAAATACCAATGGGACATAGTTTTGGTCAATTAAATTGTCATTATTATCATCATTCACCTTAACGTTTCTAATAGGAGTAACTATGTGATCCATAGGATGTGGAGGTTTCTCGAGAACATTTCTAACTGTGTCTACAATACAATCGCTGCAAAAATCAGAGCTTTTACCAATAGCTGGACAATCATTGCAATTCCATCTAGTTCCAACGATTGGAGATGATTCACATACACAACATGTATAACCAACATGGAGAGTTAGACGATTTTCTTCTTCAAGTTTGTCCTTAAATACTTCATGTAAGATATCTAATTTTGCCTTAATACTCATTTCAATATTTTTGTGACTTACATTAAAGTTATTTCGATTGGCATTATAAACATCAACATCATCTATTAATGTTGTAGATGGTATAAATGTGGTTGGTTTTAATAATGCACCATTATTTTTATGACTTAATGATACAGTTTTTTTATTTAAATTCTTTGAATTTGCATTAATAGATTTTATTGAACCGACTTTTTTCATTTTCATGTTATACTTTTGAACTCTACTACATACTTGTCTCAAATTTCTTGTGCCTAAAGCGTCAGCTATTTTTCTATACCTGTTACTTTCATTTCTTTCTGGTGGATATTCAATTAAAAGTTCTTCAAGACGTAATTGTTCTTCAACTGTCCAAGGTTTTTTAAATGTTTCAGGTTTTTCTACCTCTGAAGTTGTACTGTTTACTCGTGTTTCTTGTTTATCAGAAATATTTTTATGCCGTAAATTAATATCACATACTTGTTTTGTTGTTTCATTTTCTGTTTTGTCATTGGTTATATACACAGACCAATCAATTTCTGGCAACGTATGAATATTAACTGATTTCAATGTACCAATGTCTTCACGTCTAAGAACTTTTTTTAATGCCAAAGAAGGATTTTTTGAAAAGTATTCTTTTAACACTGCAAGTTTTTCAATATTTTGAATTGTTGCACATCTTTGTACTTCAAGTATTGCTAAGGATTTCAGTAAATTCTTATAATCATTATTATTTTTTAATAAGTAAAAATCTGATTCAAAATAAAATTCTGTTGCTTGCAAGGCTTTTGAATCTGATACATTGGTATCATTAAGTTGTTTATCCATATCCAATGTATAAATTAACTGAAAAAATAACAAATATTTAGTCTTTTACAAACAATAATACATCAATAATAAAGACTAGCAATAGGTATACCTAAATCACCTGACAAATAATTATTGTACCTATATTATATTATATTTTATTTTTAAGTTTACGAAAACGTATCATCAGACGTCATTGGGGCAAAGATTGATGATGCAAATAGAACTTCTAAAATAATTTACCACGATTTGAATTTTGAAATATAATCATTGATTGTATAAATTATAAAACAAGAATGTATTCAGTACTGAAACGTCTAAAACTGAACTCCGAAGTCCGAACACGGCGAACACCGGAACACCGAAGTAAACATAGACTTATATATTATACTCAGTATAAGGTCTATGGAAGTAAACAATAAAATAAATTGAATTGATAACAGTGAAAACTGATAACGCTGGGCCAGAACCACGGTCTTATTATATACGGTATATAAAGCCTAAAGCCGGGTTTACACGTAACAATAAATTCCAGCAATTTATCGTAACGATCGAATTGTTTCGATTTATCGTTATGTATAAATATGATATTGTAGCGATTTATTGGAATTGGATCGTATGATTGAAGCCGAACGGCATCAATTTCTGCAAATCGTAACGATAAATTGCTGGAATTTATTGTTACGTGTAAACCCGGCTTAAGACCGTGCCCAGAACTGACTATGAGTGCTCCAAACGAGAAAATTATGTACTAATACTAGCTGATCCCGGCGATCCCGCATTCGGGGAATTCGGGCGCATTCCCGCGCGCTTTATTCTTTATTGCCGCCTTGCCGGTAAAAAAATAATATATTATATTGAGTTAAAAAATTCATTAAAAGTTTCTTGAAATACATTGTTTGAATTTACATGTATTGTAAATTTGCAAAACAATTCTCAATGTGTTTAATAATAATAAATAAATTGGTATCAGGACAATTAAGGTAGCCTTTGAATTTTGCCCTTACCAAATCTGATTCTTTACCAATACAATCTTGTGAAGTATTAAGCGTTTTTAACCCTAAACGCTTAGCAATATACTTAGTACAAAAAAATTATATACATATATATGTATAATAAGTAATAAAATACCTATTTTTAAATTTAGTAGGTATAGTTTTATATTAAATTGTAGATACCCAGCCAAAAAATAAACGACACAATTATATACGGTAGAATCAATGGGAATAAACTCTAGAGACAWACAGACAAAATATTATGAACTGTTTTGTTTAACATGTGTATTTAATTGTAATACTTACTTTCATATACTATACAATTTCCTGCGTTAGGAGGTTTAATCATTGAATAAACAGAAAGCAGAAGGTTGGCGTGGTTGGGTGATCATTTGGAGATTTGGACCTGCGATTTGTCTGGTTATCCCAAAAAATTTCTAAAAATCAAAATTATTATCCAAAAAATAATTACAATAATCATAATTTTGAACTTATAATAGTACRACTATCAGATATCATTGAGATTGAGTTATTACTATTAGAATTGAAAAATATTGATCGATCATTACTTTCTGTATAGTCCATTGATTCACCTTTATTACCACCTATCTATTTAATTAACAAGTTTCATTTACATTTTACATTTACATAATATAATATGTTTTTGAGTAAATAACAAACTTAATACTGTACCATTTCTGAAGTTGATAAATCTGTCAATATATTTTGCTTTGTTGTAACACTAATTGTAGGAATAGCTCCTTCCRAAGTTTTGGTCTTTTATAACATATATATTAAAACAATTAAAATTATACATAACTACATAAAAGTAGTTTTGTTAATTTTTTTAAAGTACAATTTTACATTAGTTAACATTTGAAAAAACAATGATATTTTAGAGTACGTAAGTATCTACCCATTGATGTAATATAGTAGGAATAATAATCAAATATACTTATATATATATGATATATAAGATGGATCTCTTGTTAGCTACCTGAAACCCATGTCTTCATGATAACCTCTTTTTCAAAATGTTTTTCACAAATTCTTGAATTTGGTTTCAATTTCATGTTTAGTGGATATTTTGCCATACATCAAATACATTTTTAGGTACACTAAAAGTACTAGAATTGAATTCATTGCAAAATGGAATACATTTCATTTTTCATTTTAATATAATATTTAAAATGGATTTTAATGAATCATTTTACCGAACAAAATATTAAAATTCCACCGTCATTGACGATGATGCTAATAGAAAATGTACTGCACTGTGGAAGTGTGGAATATGTCTAGAGTTCTAGACGACCGAAATCTCCGGAAATCATACACAATTTATTATGCTGTTCACTTTTTTATCCGTGCCCAACAAGGTAGAATTCTTTGTACGACGCTATGAGTCAATTATTAAAGTTAAAGACAAATCAAATATACTTTTCCAACATTTAAAAGTTAATTCTAGATTTATAGTCTTAGAGTTAAAAAAAAGTTCTAAACTTCTAAAGTTTCAAAAGCCATATTAGCGCTTCTAGCGGACAGTACACTGAACTTAAAGCCGTCAAAATAATTACGACTCCAACAACCTACCATGTACCCCATATCATTGTCATGCCCCATATCACAGAACAATAGATGCCCCACGGTTTAAGATATATATCTTAAACCGTGAGATGCCCATATTGTTCTGATATTATCTACATCCGAAAACAATCGTTTGATAATGACATTTCCGAGCAAATTTSTATATTTTATTCCATGACACAAGTACCCACCTGCCACCACCACAACTATCCCCATCACCGGGCAATAGGCATCCTGTATGAGATCTAAAAGAAGAAAAAAAATCCTTACTTTGATACTTTCATTTCCCAGTTTGTTTCGCACGTCCTCTTTTATGTCGTGACTCGTGCTGCGAATTGCGATAGCAATCGTCTCTTGTATTCTATATTTTTTTTCAAATATTTTTGTTATTTATTTATCGTCTAAGTAAACAATTTTTTTTCTGTTTGTTCAACTATTTGATTTCGTTGCAGCCAAACGAACACTAACGTAGTAGGTATATTATTTTCATTCTACAATTAACGCTCTCATAGGTCCGTCGTTCACGTACGCGCTAAAAATCCTCGCCCGTTACGGAGCAGCAGCTACAAACTATACAGCAGCAGTACTTCGTATTCGGCGGCGGTTATCACCGTTCAATAATAACAATAATAATAATAATAATAAATAATAATAGTTAWTAGTGTAATAGGTATTAACAAATTCACAAAATACAATAACCGTTCGTCCGTATTCGCGCACAGGAATCTAATGATATCGTCTTCTATACCAACAGGAGGCAACTGTTTTGTCTTATTCATCTGCACTCAAATTGGACCCACTGACAGTTCTAACTGTTCGTTTTGGCGTTTTCTGTGTTATCTGTGTGCTTCTTATATGCCCGATATTGCAGCTTGAAAAAAACGGAGTCCTCGTAGTCTGTTGTTTTGTTGTTTCGAAGACTTGATCGTCGTCGATATGTCTGAGATAGTCAACGAAAACAGCAAGTCATCGAATCCGCCTGTTGATGGCAACAATGAAGGTAAGCACTCATGATATTATGCATTACAATTTATGTATGTAAGTTTATAAAACTACACTGTTCAAAATTCTCACCATCACTTTTGGTAAACCCAACCTAGAACTGGGAACTAATTAAAGTTGTTTATTTTTTGTTTTTTTTTGATTTTCACACTTCTTATTTAATATATTGTTTCTTAGTTGCCTRACTATAATCTGTTATATAATACATCACTATATTAACTTGTGAAATATACTTCTGACACTTTTTATGATAATATTATTTCTGGGTACCTACGTTTAATAAAAATACCTTATTGAAAATATATTTGTATTTCAAATTGTCTGGTGTAATTAACCTAACTGAGGTGCTTAACATTGTCTTATAAATTATTTTAGTTGCATAGGTTGTTTCAAGTTATAAACAATTTATGGTACCTACCTACCCTATTTTTCTGTCTAATGTGATTTGCGTTTTGTGAATTAAGTAATGTTAGTATAAAATTTAAATATTTTAAAGTATACTAAAATAAATAAGAGGTAATCAGATATTATTAGTAAATTAGAAGTAGGTAATCAAATATAGGTAGGTATACCTATTTTAATTTCTTATCACTGTAGGTATATATTATGATTCATGTTATTAGAATTTTTTTTATATCAGGTATATAGAGGTAGGTTTTTTAATTTATTTTGTACAGTTAAAAATGTTTGAATGGATACAAAATCATAGGTACATGCCAACACTATATTTGTCCTTATATTTGTTTTCTCTTTAATACTCATGTGCAACATAGATCAAATGAATTTTTGGTATAAAATTGTTTTTTTTTGTTTTGAGAACCTAATTGTATAGTTGAATCAATTTTTGATATAATTATTGGCTAATATTTTGAATATTGATTTATCGCCTTATCGATTTTATATTTTAGTGTTAGGTATTTTACTTTATAAATACAAACATTTATATAATTTTAAATTGTTTTGAGATACTATTTAGACAAAYGGACATACCATACCCTCAATAATATTCATCATTTTTATTATGTATGATTTTTGAAGTTATTTCGCACATAAAATTGCTCATGACCATAGTAAAAAAATGATTTTGCATAAATGCTTTTTATATAAGTGGGGCATGGGCCAGAGAGAGAAACAAATAGTGCATTGACATCTTAATGCTGCATACCTACATGTATTAATTGAATTTTTGATCACTAGACAAGTATTAATTATATACTAAATTAGTTGAATATTTAAGTATAAATAAAGAAAAGAAGAAACATGTCTTATAGATGAAAAAATTGTCAACCTACTGTTTGATAATGGGTTAACAATGTTAACATACCTAATTTAAAAATAAAAATATATCTACCTATAAATTAATTTATCTAAGCAATACATTTCAATTTTTGAATAAACTGATTAAAATATTAACCTAACTGCAAGAAACCTTCTTGGAATAATTCTTCTATAATTTTCTCTAAAATTAATTTTATTGTAACATAGACATATAGGTATAAAACTAAGATAATTTATTTTTTGAAAGATGTATATTCTATTGCACATTATTTTATATAATATATTGGTAGTATTTAAAAAATGAAAATATTCATATGTTTTAGTACCTAAACATATCTAATCATTTTCCTTATCACAATTAATCATAAACCTAACTTAGTAGGTACATAATTAATTAAATAAGAAATATCCAAATATTAAAAAATAAAATTTATCAATATAGATAGTAGATTATAATAAATAATATTTATTATTTATGTATTTATATTATTCAATATATTATTGTTATATTTACTTATAATGCATTGGAATTTCTATACTGATGTTCATTTTATGTAATTAATACCAWTTTAATGACAGATTAATACATTTTTATCACATATAAAATCTAATCTAAATATAAGAAGAATTTTTTGTCAAATTTTAATTAATACAAGGTAATCTTAATTTTTCAGTATGGCTTATAATATTATTCCAACCAATAACAGATAGGTATTTCTTGTTGTATAGACATATTCTTAAGGTTAGGTTTTAAATTTATGTATCATTTAATTTGAGTGTTATAATCTTTGTTACTATCTATTATTTACAATAACTCATAACACTGCTTTACTGCAAGTTTTCAATACATAATAAATCATGATCATGCATTATCCAAACATAATATTTCTCACATAAAATTAGTTAAATTTTTATTTGAGTCTTTATGTGTTTGCTATAGTACTTTTAATTTATAAAACTAAATATTAGTATACCAGCTATTCAGTTTTATTCTAATACCTGTCTTCATCTGCTTGATGTTTCATTTGGGTTAATTAAATATCGAGTTAATTATTATATAAATAAATTAGCAAATTTTGTAATGGCATGTCAATGCGACTAAGGGTTATATTACTTTAATTTAATTTAAATTACAAGCAGTATTTAAATAACTAGAATAAAATAATTATTTACTTTACTTGTTAGTTGAACTACTGTGATATTTTTATATTGTGATATACTGCTAATATTTTGTAGGTACCTATATTATAAAGGTTTAAGTGATATGAAGGTATCACTGGGGGTATTTTATTTTTTCTCTTTGTTACTCCCTTAGAAATAATTATACAATATGATGTATTTCATATTAAAACATAATTGATTAAAGAATTGAATAATATAATGTATAATAATATAATTACATTATGTTAATTATACCTACCACCATAGATTTGTTTCAAGTGTTTGACTTGTTTGGAACTAGTCCTGAAAAAAATAGTAATTAGCCCATTGACCAAAAAACCAAGTTCATGATGGTTCAGTTTAGATAGATTGGTTCGCTGGAACACTGAAACTACTGGTGTACACAGGATTTTTAATGGTGGGGGGCTTTGTGTTTGATGATAATAATAAAAATCACTCAGTTGCCTCAAGATAAGGTTTGAAAAATAAAGTAGATATTTTCTCAGTCATATAGTAGTCACGCGACGGCGGAAAACRGGACCTAGAATATTTATAACAAAACAAAAWATATAATGTGATAGTAATGAGTGGGAGACTGGCCCACCACTGCTAATAAGATTTTGTATTGATTATTCAATAAAATATGGGGGCCGGAGGAGAAGTATTGGCAACATAGTTCCTTCTCCGGTCCTCGATACCATAGAAATAATAATAAAAAAAAGTAGTTATATATATATATTTATAGTCTATGTTTGTAATAATTAGGTGAACACACAATTTAAGGTACTTAATTTAATCATGGGTAAATGTTAAAACAAATAATAATAAATAATATGGTCAATGGGGGGAGCCTTCAGTCTGTTATCCCCCTCCCCCTTCTACGTACGACAGTGACTGAAACACTTCATATCTTATAATTATACTTTTATTTTAATTAAAATGTTAGATAAATCATATTTTTGATACCTACCTGGTTAGATGCATTATTTAATGGTTGATACAGTGTTTCTTCCATAACATTAGGTATGTACTATGTAATTAACTAATACAATTTAATTTGATTATCATTTTATTATTTTATATATATATATAATATGTTATATTATATTCTGTAATGATGAATTTGAAGGAAAAAATTGGAAGTCAAAAATAATTAATTACCTAATCAATAGTTTTTATTTCAACACTGAAATAAAAATTAATAAATCATTTGTACCTTAGTAATAATATTAAATTTTTATTAAATTTTTGTGTAYTTATCAAAGTTRATGTAAATAATATTTGGTAAGGTAATAATTTGATATAGGAATTTTGTACTTATGTTTTATTCTGTTTTAGACTAATTCATTCATAAAATAATTATTTTATAGAATAATCATAATTCATAGTTTAAATTTAATAAATATAGTTAATCAGTATTTATCAATCAAAAACTTGATAAAAATGCCACATGAAGTGTTCTTTTGTACTCATTTTCATGTGTTTATTTATTTATATATTATTACACTTGGACACAATTCAGCCAATATGAAGATAATATTATCATATATTGTTTATAGATTGGGGTAAATAATTCACTGATTGTTTATTATTAGAAAATAATTTTATGAAATCCCAACTTGCTTTTATCAAAGATAATATTCAGAATTTCAGACATTCAGTTAGCTTTCGTAATTTTTATTAGTTAGTACTTAGTAGTCACTAATCATTACCTGTATGAATTATGTCATTTTAAATGTCTTGTTTTAACAATTTTTATGTTAGAGTATTTGATTTTTATTTGTGATGGTATAGTAGTTAATAATAATAAAATAATTGACAACATGGAAAGTAGAATTAATAAAAGTCGCAAACGACACTCAGGTATTCAAAGTCCTATGTTAAAAAAGGTACTAAAAACCATGCCTTCTTGTAAAGAAAATATTCCAGAACTACCTTACTATAACAGTATATCTACAAATGGCCTTAAAAAATGTTTAGGTTTGTATTACTGTATTACTTAATACTTGTATATTTTATTTTGAACAATARGTTATTTAAACATCTAAATTTGTCATATTTACAAAAGTATAAGGTATAAGTTATTAGATAATATTTTGTTTTAAATAATATTTATTTCTTAAACTAAATGATTATCTAAAAACTGTATAGGTATAACAACCAATGAAATGGAAAATGAAACAGGCGTTGAAGAAAAGGTTAAAGTAGTGAGATTTAAGCAGCCAACACATAAGTATACCAAAGAAGCTCTGTTGGAATTACAAAACTTGAGCAGTTCCAAAGTGCGCCCTAAATTTTTAGACAACTTCCCTGATTTGGATTTAGAACTTGCTGGAAAAACTCGAAAGTAAGTTTCAATTTTTATACTCTAATTTTATAAGTAAACTAAGTACCAAAAAAAAAATTTTTTTTTATTAAATCACCTGGATGTAATCACTTAAAATGGTTTGAATAATTGTTTCTTTTTTTTTTACAGGGGAAGTAGGCCTGTTGCTAGTGGAAAACCAGCTACTAATAGTAAGACAGTAGCATTTGATTTACCGCCTTGGCAGAATCAACCTACAGAAAATGGTGAACTTAAAACTGAGGTTAGTATTGTTATTTTCTAATTATTATCAAAAATATACTTAGAGAAAAAACAATTGGTAAAAAAATAATCATTTCTTATTTATATATATACATTTACACTTAAGTCATATCTAAATGTTCATTTAAAAATATCTACATAGTGGATTTTTTCATCTACCTATGTGGTTTATTCTAACTTCTAGTTTAGTTTAAACAACATTGAGTGTTCTGTAATAAAAGTAATTTTATTATTTCTATAAATAATCATTGTAGAACTTAAAAATTCATTAGTTTGTTAATTGGGAAGATTTGTTGATATTTAGTTTATTAAATCATTTTCAAGTTCTTATGTTGATATTAATATTGTTTCGTTTTTTTCTACAATAAGTATCAAATTCATTGATTGCTCATATTTTATATTAATTAGTACCTATGCTTTTAGAACTATATTTTGTAACCATTTAATCTAAATTTTCATTGCAATATGTGATAATAGTGGTCCAATCACTTAAATGRCAACAAAACAAGTATAGTAAAAAACAATTAATTTAAAAATATATTATTTTCATATTTTATTGATTTAAATTTGCATCTTAGTTGATTTCTATAATTGAGATGTTTTGTTTTATTTGGTATTTCCAAATACTTAAATGATAAAATATAAACCTTGTATTATAATTTAAAGATAACTTTGTTGTAAAATTTTTAATTTAGAAAAAACCTCAGGATGCTAAAGATCGTCTGAAAAAGGATCAAGATATAGTTTTGAGTCCTCAAAGGCGTAGTTTCAATTCMGGTTGTTTTGTTACTATGAATGCCTCTAGTGGACCAAAACGTTCAAATAGTCCTTTGAATACATCTGCTAAACAGTATGTTGAAAGGTGAGATACGTTTTATTATGTTTGTATTTTTTGATTATAAAATACAAATTTAGGGAGCCCATTCGAGAACCTCGTCGAGTTGGCAGTGGTCGATTAATGAGTCGAGATTCTTGGGATTCTGGTTTTCGTCAGCCAGAAAATGGAATTGCAAATAATTACAATTTTGGTAAAAGTGGCTTTCGTGAATCTTCATCTCATAACTCAATGTTTGTATTTATAGCTATCTCTTAAATTGTTCGTCTATTTTTGTTATTTATTCAATCATATTCTTTTTAGTGAACCTCGTAGAAAAGATTTTGAGTTTGACAGAGGAGAAACAGATCGTTATAGAAATTATGATCGCTTTAAAGGCTCTAGTAATTATGATAGACGTCGAAATGATTCTTATCGAACACAAGAAGAACCAGAATGGATGACAGGTTTGTTATTATTTTTTTTTTTTTTCATTAAAAAATAAGGCCATCAAAACTCAATGGAGTACACAGATATTTTCAATTGAAAGGTTAACATTAACAAAATTTAACATGTACAAAAATATAAAATTATTCATATTATATTTATTATATATAACTATATGCATAGGCATGTCCACGGGTCATGCCTGTGCATGACAGGCATGTCCTGCAAATTTGATCAAACTTACATTGTACATTTTGATGCATAATATGAACCTTTTTTTCTCAATTTCTAATTTCATATTAAATTTTTTGTTTTTCTCATGTGTATGATTCAGGGTCATATCCCCAAACCCTAACAAAAATTTTTATTTTTTTGAGGAGGATTGGCAGTTTCTCCATCCCCTAGATATGCCACTGTTGTGCATGACCTGCGAATGAGGTCTGGACACGCCTATGATTATATGGTATAGTGAAAAAAAAATACCAAGGGGCTTGTACATCCCATGTGTGGTGTACTGGTGTGTACCTGTATATGCTATTGTCAAAACTATATAATATCAGTTCAAAACTGATAAAACTCAAAAAATTTGTTTTTTTGGATATAACATGTTTTCTATCTTGATTCTCCATGACATAACATAAATTTGATATTAAATACTAAATATTATAATATTGGAAATATTCTCTTTTGGATAATAATTTAGCTATGTTTTATTGCATTATTGATCTTAAATCATAATATTGTGTATATGATGGAGTACATAACATGGATTTGTTTTGACTCAAGTTGTTTCAATTTTGAACTGGGGTGTTGATATAATATTATTGTCTCCATATTACAGACATATAACTTGAAAAATGTGTATTCAGTATTACTGATTTTATGTTATTAATCTTAATACTAAAAGTGAATTAACTTGTTTAAAAACTTGAAGGTAAATGTTATTCGGGGCATCTCATAGGCTTGTATTAATATTTTAATTTAAAGTGTGTTATATTTTACAACTGTATAAAATTTAAGAGTTTTAAGATGAAATATCAATAAAAGGCAATGCAATATCCTAGATAATTCCTACCTTTAAGTTTTTTTACAAGTCACTTCACTTGTAGTATTATTTTATTTTTGAAAGACCAAGTTTCTGTGTATAATAGTAAATTTATATCATACAGTTTAATAAACATATGCTCAATTATATACTAAAATTTATTGTGTAATGCTAAATAATCTTGTACAATGTTTTTGTTTAATCTTTAAACATRTATATACGATCATGTTTTGTTGCACTTTATGATATTGTAATGCATTTCCTTTGTAGCCTTCTCATATTGAGAGAATGCTTTACCCACATATTGTGTTGTCTGTCTCAAAAAATTGATATTTTTATTAAGAAGCAAATTATGACCTTTCTGATGAAACTATACATTTTAAAACGATCATAACTTAAAATGAATAATATAAATAAAATTCTCTGAGATTCTCTAGATAATAATCTTAYATTTAAATTTTATCATGGGTCAATCCACTATAATTTTAGAATTTACAAAGTAAAATATAAAATATACTATGTTCTAATTTTTAAATGACAGAAATTACACACAGGTATGGTGTTCCCTTACACCAGGGATAGCAAATTATTTAAACATTACGTACCAAATATAACCTTTATGTTTTCAAGCATGTTTTGGAAAATATTATTTATTATATAGCCATAATATATATACAGGGTGTCCCAAAGAGATCTGACATTCTGACAAATGAAATAACTTTTGTTCTAATCAATTTTTTTTTTAATTTCTTTTAAATATAATCCATAGAAACTTGCGCTACATTTTTTATTTTTTA